GGTGAGTTCCTCTAGGCCTTCCTACCAATGTGACCAAGTTGCGAAAACAAGGTTAAACAACTTCTATACAACGAAAGACCACACCATACTGGTCGTCATATCTTGTCGAAATGTATGCAGCAACTTTATAACGCAAAGCACTGTTTACAATCATACATATGCTATTGAAGATATGAATGTAAAGAGGCTGTATTTTAATAAAAACTAGGATATATTTTTTTTCAAGGGTTTTATTAGCCCAAAGCAAATATGCCTAAACGCAGGTCTCATCGGACGGTCTACAGATTATACCTCGCTCAGGTATAATCATTACCTTCAAATAAAGAAGAGACCATACATTCCGATTTAGTTAGAGATATGTGGTATTTCGCAAATTTAGGCACTATTTATTCTTCCTAACCCATATGTATGGTCATAGCTTTGACTCCAGTGAAAAGTATTTATTATATCTAAGCAAGACGGAAACTTTATCGGATCCTGGATGAAAGCACATCATTGGAAGATATTCTACACTGGAATACACAAATTTCTTACCTTGATTTCATGCGGTAAATTGAATCGTCAATGCATAGGACACCATCCCATCAAGGATGCTTATAGACTACATTGAACCTGAAATTCTTTGGTCTTTTAGATAGCTCGTTAGGCATATTCATTAAAAAGCTATAAATTATAATTTGCATTAAATAAAATATTCTGCTTGTGTCGGACAGACTAACTTTCAAGATAGTAATCTGCTTAGTAATGCAGCCTGAATTATTTATTTTCATCAGAATGGCCATAAACAAAGGGCACTCGAAACTGCAAATGTCCCATTTACAACCTCATCTTGAAGAAGTTATTAAAACTCGTCACAATATTATTTCTTACCAAGGTTAAAACTTTGCATAACCGGGCTGCTTATTTATTAGTTTGCAACAGAAATAAGGAGATGATATTCTGCAAGCAAGTTTTCTTTACAGAGAACTAGAAAGCTAAACTGATGTTGAACTATAATAAATTGAAGCCTTAATTAAGTATAATAAAAATTATTTTGCTTCCTAAAGTAAAAAAAAACAAATAACAATTAAGTAGGGTTTAAAAAAAATCGGTTTATTAAAAGTTATTTTATTCAATTTGTATCAACCTGTTGAGACTGGCGAATGCTGGCGGTGGGAAGATTATCTGTGACTCTGTACTGGGTCCATCTCCAAATCCGTTTATGGGTGTAACCCTGTAGATTAGACGTACGCCCGGTTGGGCATGCCGATCAAGTACACTGGTAACTCCTCTCGTCACCATAGCAACTTGACGCCAACTAGACTTTGTAGTCTGTAAGCTGCGTGCCTCCACACGGTAGGTGACCGCTGCTGCAGCAGCCTCGATATTCCGTTTGAATGATTCTACTTCGCTGTACATGATTTCATCACCAGTAGTGCCAATATCAGACTTCAAAGTTCCATCTGGTGGACGGATCAACATGTGCTGCTCAGACGGAGTCCACGAAACGCGTAATCCTGGATTTCCATTCGTCCCAGCCGCCTGGACGCTGGTTACGGTGACAGAACAAGGGGCCTGTGGTCGGAGACTGAGACGCGATGGCACTCGAATATATTCATAGGCGTCCTGCCAGGCCGGTTGACCATCCTCCGGTCGCTGAGTCCAAGCCAGCAAGCGGAATAACTGCTCCTGAGAGTCCTCGGGTTTTATGTCTAGGACGAAGTTCTCACCAAAAATAAGGCCCTCTGTACGGCTGTGAATGTTCCAGTTCGCCTGGTCAGCCAGTGGATTGTAGGCATCTTCAGAGTACTCGGAATTCAAAGAACTCGGTACCAAGCACAGGAATTTTTCGAGTCTATATCTACGGTGCTTGAAGTTATTAGTCTTTTTTGGTCCCGTACTGTTGGCAAGGCCTGTAGTCAGGTAGGGCTGCCATTCGAGGCTGCAGCCATCTTCCATGCTAATAGAGGTGACATTGACCTTTAAGCGAGTCAGAGAACTGGGCAGCTGAAGTACAGGCAAGTCTGAGTACATGTCACTAGGCGTCGTGGTTGATAATGTGCTTCCAGTTGCCGCGCTTGCTTCCAGCTCTCCGGAAACTGGTGGTATGAAGCAATTCGTGAGTGAAGGGCGATGAGTACCAGCTAATAGTTGCGATGGCGACAGTCGGCAGGCTCGTGTAGGGCCACTATTTCCATAGGCGTTCCTGCATGACACACGAACCTCGACGGGCTGTAGGTGATGGTGCGAGCCCTGGTACAGCGCAGAGCGGAAAGGCTCTCGGTTTCCGGAAAGCTCCTTCGACCACTCAAGGCCGTCGTCACCTTCCGCGACCGCGTGTACCACTTCGTTAGGAAGTCTGAAACTGGTAATGTCTTCCAGATCGTCGACGATCATTTGCCACTGTCCAGTCCTTCCACGCCGCCACTCAACACTGTACACTGGTTCAAGCCCAGCAACACAGGCAGCACAAAAGTCAGGCATGTAAGCCGGTTTCCAGTGCAACAGTAAACCGGCTGGACTCGGATATTTGTGGACATTGGGTGATTCTTCGGCTGATTCGAGTCTCCGTCGGGCCTTAGCAGCTTCAACTGCTGCTGACTTTGGCGTTGGTGCCATGTTTGCAAGGATCGACGTAGACCTGATCACAGTGACCCATGGCGGATCAATTGAGAGGTCTGGGATCAAGCGACCTATATTCAGACTAATTATGGCAGCGGGACTCGCCTCAGAAGTGCCATACCGGTTGATGGCACACACGCGCACCATGGTGGTCACACCGGGGCGCAAGTGATACACGTATTCGCGGTCGTCAAGGTCTGAGGCTATGCAGCGCCAGTCCATATCGACAGACTCACGGACTTCCAACTTGTAGCGTATGCGGCCGAGAAGCTTGAGTGGACTCATTTCCTCCCAATCCTTCGATCCGTCACTCCAGACTTGCATGCGCGATACTGCCGTAGTCGATTGAGTGGGGCAGGCTGCCTGCCAGCTGATACGTACCGAAGTGGCATCCTCCTCAGTGATGGTCGGCTTGACCATTGGCATGACGGGCAAGCAGGCACGGATAGGCACTCTTAGGGCAGGCGTCGAAGCTGGACCTTGTCCGAGGCTGTTTTCGGCCAGTACACGGATCTGCAAGGGATAGAGAGGGTCAGCCAGCTCAACAGGAATCGAATACTCGTGTTCTGATAACTGGCTCGCCACAGGCCGCCACCAGTGGCCATTGTCTTTCGTCACTTCTACTGTGTAAGTGATTGCTTCTGTGGCCTCGCTAGGAATTGGGGTCCATGATATATGAATCTCATTCTCGTTGAACCAGTCTAGGGTGCAGGAAGGCGCATCACGAAGGCTCACTGCGGAAAAGAAGAGGAAATTGGAGAACAATTTCGAGGTAATCAGGTTATCGAAGCCTCTTAGGTACTAGCTAAAACAAGCCATCAACTGAAAATCCGATATTCAAGTAATTAATCCAGCGGTATCCTTTACAAAACGAGGACAGCCAAGCTCCAGTGCTATGTGGATATATAACAATAGTAACTCAATTTTTGTGAGCACCTTTAGTTTAATTGTCCCAGATGCCAGAAATTAGTATACATAACGTCTGAAATTGGGCTTACATTGAAAGCACTTTAAGCTTACAAAATGGATCTTGGGTTAGTATCAGGCACCTGAGTGACTGAATCTGTATTGTAATGTCCCACATGGAGCTGATATCAAAATTCGTTAAGTCAATTCCACGAGTATACGTTAAAACAGCGATAGCCCTCGGATGAACTGCATTAAAAAAGTAAGTCACATAGTTGCAACCGGAAATATTCGCGAATTTACTATCAAGAAGAAGTATTTATTCTATTGTGTGTGGTCTACTCTTCGTAATATTTTAGTACAGCCAAGCAAAAATGTGTGGTTGCGTTTAAACAATCAAGTCACCCCATCTTTTGATGATAAGTTTACCTAAATTATTAATTCCTTGTGGGGAGGGATGAGAATCTCAGTCAATTTCTCGGGTTAGATATGCATAAATAATATTAGCAATTTCCGAAAATTTATCGAAAGGAAATCTGAATGTTAATGGTAGCTAGGAAAATTAGAACACATCTTGGCGATGTGCCATAAAGCTAGCTTTGTTAATAGCTCATCTGGCAATCTATACTTAAAATGTAGTAGGATTAAAGCATCATGATTCTGGCGTCAATGGGAAACTCGAATTCGTTGTTGCACTGAGATGAAACCGCCATATCAGCAAGATTTTTATAATAATATCCGCATTAAATTAGTCATCGCTTCTAATACAGGAGGGTAAATGAATCAGTGCAGGCAAATTTTCTCAAAATAAAGATTGTATTCTATCCTTTGATGAGTCCCACTTGATTTCATTTACCTCCAGTCCCATACCAAGCCTTGCTTTTAGCGATATTAGCTCACAGTTTACAACTGATTAGCATTGATGCAACCCATATTAATGATCCCTTTGAAACACGGATCGTTTCTATAAAAGCACATAAAAACGCAAGCAAGTTGCTTCAATGCTTGAGGTAATAATT